ATAAATTATTTTCATCATATTCTTCCATAATTCACTGAGAAATTATCAAGCATGACGGTTTTGATTCAAAAGTATTCTATACAACAGAGCAAAAGTTTCACAAGGTGGGAAAAATTCCAGTTCAACAGAGAAAAAAATGAACAAAACTTTTGCAATAACATGGACAAGTTATGCTTTCTATTAAAAAATATTTAAACTAAATATTTTAGTCATGTAAGTATTAAAAATATGGACGAATCAAAAAACATAAGATTCCCATACATTGTATGAACAAACCAGTCGCGGCCTACTTTGAATAGCCCACACACCGTATGGACAAATCAGTTAAGGGGTTAAATTATAGAATTGATGACACTTCAAATTTACTTAAATGTGATGTGTAAATTATCTTCATCTTCCTATTTTGCATTCAACTTAAAAATTTATCCTTAGGAACAAAAGTAGTGTTTAAAGAGGTCCTTGATGTGCATTTTGCCTTTATCAAAAGTAACCTCTAAATGATGGCTTTTCTTAATCCATCATTAATAGGGGTTAATGATTTCATAAGAAATTTAATGCTTTGAATATTTAATAGAGAAAAAATCTCTATATAATAAGATATTGCATTCAATGTTGACATAAAAATATAACTTAATTATTTTTTTCTTACCAGATCCAAATTTTGAAGGGAGGGGGGAAAAAACAAATCCTTTTTAAACTCCTCATGTTTGCAATACAAAGCCTATTTTAAAAATAATTTGATCTGAAACATTCAGTTAAAATAGTAAAAAATAGGTGTTTAGACACTCAATATTAAGGAACTGCGAGATGAAGCAACCTTTTGTTAAAGAGAACTAGGTTTCATTCTTTGAAATATAACTCTTTACAGTTACATAAGATATTTGGTACTTCTTGTTACCTGCACAACCACTAAAAATTCAAAAACTTGTTAGCAATTAAGTTTTCGTCAAATTAATGCACTAAGAATTTTTTACAAAATCAATTAATCAATCAAATTTAAAAAGTAAGAAACGTTGGTAATAAAAGACATACTTTTTCTAAGAAATCCAACTTTTTTGGTGCTATTGACCTCCCTATGTACACAGTGATTCATTTAAGAAAAGTCAGAGAATGGGGCAAACTTAGCATTTGCAAGACTTGAACATTGCTTACTGGCCAAAACAGATGTGTGCTATATACAAAATCTAGGTTGCCATATAATTGTTTTGATAACATATACTGTTTTGCCTCTTGAATACTTTGTCATGACTTTTTGGTGAGGGTGTGGATGAACAGAAACTATCAGTTATTTTAAGAAGAGAGATAATAATGGCTTTTAGTTTCTGGTATTGTTGATTATTTTTTTAAAACCCATTTTTTGAAAATGTTTTGAAATAGAACGGTTGGTTACAAAGAAAAATATTAATAGAATAAAACTCAATGTAATATAGTAAGGGGAGTTCCCCCCTTGAACAGTAATAAGGAAAACAGACTAAATTAAATAATTAAGATATTTTGGAACTTTTATTAAAGTATAAGCAGAATAACATATTATCCAGCTGATAGCATAAAAAGTTTTGACAATATACAATATTCTGGCTCAAATTGTTGGAATTTACACACAAATAAAGGCTGTGAGAATTATTAATATGCCAGCATATTTCTAACTCTAATTTACACTGTAAATTAATCCCTTATAATTATTTTGATATCTACTATTGTTTACTATCACTAGAACACAGATATTTTAATTTGAAAAAAAGACAGGATATTAATGCAGTATTTACGTTCAAGACATTTATGCTCATGTAGAGTGTTTTTCAGTTATAGTAGACTGAAGGGTACCCCTTGTATTATCGCAAAGTTGTTGTTTGATTTATCGCCAAGTTGTTGTTTCGTTCATCGCCAAGCTGTTGTTTCGTTTATCACCAAGTTGTTTCATTTATGGTAAGAGTAGTTGAATGTTATAGAAATCCTATTATGATGTAATCAGTTGCATGATTGTGGTAAATTTTGAATTATAGGATGTTTTGTAAGGACTTTTGGTGTGTGTTGGAAGTATATTGCTTGTTTTGTTGTTTAGATGGTAGAATGGCTGAATGTAGTAAGATTAATTTAAAGTTTCTGTTTGATTTGGAACAAAAGGGAAAAAGAGCATTAATTGACTAATGTGTAAATGAAGGTTTACTTAGTAGCCATTTTCCGGACAGTCCGGAACTACGGAGGATATTTTTTACTTTTATGTTTGTGAACTTATGTGGTGATGCAGATATACAGATTCGAGTTCAGATAATTTTAGGAAGTTTTTGGATGCTGTTAAGGAATTTTGTGTGCCACAGAGTGAAGACTAAGAAATTTTTAATAAGTGGATATTTGCTTTGTGTAATGCTTAGATACATAAGAGGTTTTCCTTTTTATGTTATTTTATTGTTTGGTTTAAAATGTAGTTTATTGAGATTATGTATTTTTTTGTTTCCCTCTACTGTAGAATTGGATGCTCCTTTGACTTTTTAAGTGAAAATATATCGAAGTGCACATGGACAAAGTCAAGGAAGTGTACAATGCCAAGTTTGTGCAATTCTCTGATTTTCACTAGGTGGATGTGTACATGGATAAAGTCAAGGGAGTGCACAATGCCTAGTTTGTGCAATTCTGTAATATTTAAGAGAAAATTGGTCAGTGTGTATTTGGGCTACGAGTTTGTGCAATTCTTTGACTTGTTAAACTGTCTTTATGTAGCGGCGTCGCTACACAAAATCAAAATAACAAGTCAAAGAATTGCACTAACTTGGTATTCATGTACCTCCACAAAATCGCCAATTTCTGCCAAGGGATTACCCGTAAATATACTTTTACCTGTTTTTCTTCTTTCAAAGTTCATCACAGAATTACTAAACAATATCACTTGAATTCTATTGCAAAAAAAATGATATAATAAAAGAAAAAAGAGAAAAGAAAAAATTACAGAAAAAGGGTACTCTTCTGTTATCAAGATTGGATTCAGAAATGTGCGTATGCAAGTATATATGTGTTTGTATATGGAAGTATATATATAGGCATATATGTATGTGTATGCATACCAGGGCTGTGGAGTCAAAGTCATGGAGTCGGAGAGTTTTTGGGGTGAAAGGAATCGGAGCTGGAGTCACTAAAATCAGGTCAACTCCGACTCCAGTTTTCGTTGGACAGTTTGAATTTGAAATGAAATTAAAATGAATTGAAAAAATTAATGAGAAGCTGAGTTATTATTTTTATTTATGAACTGTACACATTAATAAATAGTTATTTTCTATTTTATTGACCTATTAATAAATAAATATGAGGATGGATGTGATATTTGTTATTTGATACCCTTAATGATTTAACTGATTCATTTAGTTACGTCATTTAGTTACAAATCTCACTGGTAAATTTAGGTAAGCATAAGCAGCAATAGCAGTAAGAACTTCTAAAATTGATGCCATTCTTAGGAAAAGGAGCAATTATTGATCAAGCAATGAGATAAGGAAATACATATTTGATGATAAAGAGATTTTTAGAATTAAGAACTTTTTTAGGAGATGTAGATAACCCTAATGTTTCACTAACAGAAAGGCTGTGGAATGATCTTGCAGAATTGAAACTCTTCTTTCTACATCATATATAGCCACAAAAAAGTTTCAATCTGAAGAATTGACAGGAGACGAGAATGGAATGTTTGTTCTTTCTGAAATGGAGAGTTTATTGCAGAAGGAATCATTTCTTCAATAAAGAAAAGAGAAACTAGTTTGCTAGACAATGAGATCTTGCTGGGTTCAATATACGTAGATCCGAAACACCAAATTTTCTTATTATCCTCAGAACAATTGGAGAATTCGAATCAGGGCAGTCAAACTGCAGATATTGCAATTCAATCTCTATCATAATCTTCCAGTGATGAATTAGGTTTTGAGAAATATTTTTGGATAATGTTGAAAAGGCTAAGGCAAAGCGAATGAAAATAAAGAACCAAGAGCCTTTAGATATAAAAATGAAAAAATACAAACAAGATTTTTACACAGCCTTTGAAGAAATAGAGAAATATGATTGCGCTTGCAAGACACCTCTCTTATAAAAATCTATCCTGAAAAGTTAAAAGAAGTAGCTCTAACAGTAACAGCTCTTCTTTCTACTCAAGTTAGTGTGGAAAGACTCTTCTTAGCTCTGAAGTTTATCAAATCGGATCTATGGCCCTCCAACAAAGAAGATCTTGCTGAAGCTATACTGTTTCTTGGAAATAACTAATGCCAGTTTTTCCATTTTATAATAAATGCTAATTAATATAAATAATTTGCTATGCGATCAATTTTTTTCCGTAGCATCTATTACTTCTTTCATATTAAAAAAATAAGCTGTAACCCTCATGTATATGTTTACATATATATAATTTATTTACTAAAGAAATATTGATTATATTTTATATATATATATATATATATATATGAAGGCTAGGTGGCACAATGGCTAGCACATCGGGCAGCAGTACCACAGGTCCGGTTCGAACCCTGGGCTGGGCAAGGTCGACTCAGCCTTTCATCCCTTGATTTCCATCCCTTGGGTCGATAAAATGAGTACCAAGTTTGCTTGAGGACTAAACACTGGGGGTCCTGCGACAAGCTGACCACTTGTTCAGAGCATATGCTTATGCAACCCGGGGCCCACACGGTCAAGAAAGCAGATTTCGAGGCACTGCAGGCCTTGGCCCATTAAGGGCTGTTTGCGCCACTAAGTTTATATATATATACTATGTATATGAGGGCGTCGGACTCTTTAAAATTCCAGGAATCTGACATTTTCCCTAACGAATCCACAGCCCTGATGCATACACAGACACATACTATATACATATATGCATACACATGTGCATACATATATACATTTCTGAATCCAGTCACAATAACAGAAGAAAAAAAGTCATGCTATAATATCTTAAATTAATTCTTCCTCTATCATTCATGCTAATATTTAATCTTTGAAAGGTAACAAAAATTTATGATACATACTCTTGATCCACATACACTTGGTAAACTATCAGTAAGAAAATTTCAACAAGCATTATAACAGCACTTGTCCAAGCAAACGTAGAATGATGACTTTTATGATGGAATGCATCTTTTATCCACAGAGGAATGCCAGTAGATGTATTTGTATACTGAAAGAAGAAAAAAAGAACCAAAATCTGAAATGAACAATTACCACACATAGGGAAAGAGGCAAAGTAATGATAAAAACAATAAAATAAATTATTTTTCATAACCCATATATGAAAATTGGTACTATTCGGTTCCGAGGGCCATAAAAAATCGCCAAACTATTGTTGATGCCCAATGCTGCCAAAAATAATTGCGGCAACCCTAATAATTGCGACAAGAAAGGAAGTATGATAGTAAATAACTAGATGAAAGGTTAATTTCATATAATACTTTTTTATTATTATAATTTATATGAAAAAGGCTAAACATGACTGAATGGAAGCATAAGAGTAAATAACTATTTCAGATCATTATTATAATTTATATAAAAATTGCTAAACATAACTGAATGGATGCCTGCATCGCTATTTCGCTACCGAGTTATCGCTAAAGCATAATTTCATCTCGTTGGTTGTTCAAACACAATTTTCTATAATGAATGATGCCTTTTCTTTGAAAACATTTTCGGTAAAGTGCAGAATCGTCCACTTATTTGTTTGCCGCTTTTTACAAGGGTAAAAACAATTGAATTTTTGTCAATTTTTCTTTTACTTTTTAAGTGACAATAGGTCGATGTGTACATAGATTAAGTCAAGGGTGCACGCAGTGCCATTTTTGTGCAATTCTAGGATTTTTTTTTTTAAGTGAAACTAAGTCGATGTGCACATGGATACCGAGTATGCGCAATTCTTAAAAACGCGTCAAGCAGTGGGTGATTCTGCACTTTACCCAAAATTCTATTGCCGACTTTTCATCATGGGCAATTCCCAAATTGTATTAAATCCATAGGATATCAAAGAAGGATTTAAAAAATAAACTAGTATGTCAATGGTGTCTTTAGAAATATAGAACTATATAAACTTACGCAATCTGAAATCAATACGTACGCTAGATTTGGTGCACTTTTAAATGGGCGCATTTGCTAGATTTGGTGCGCTGTTAAATGGGCGCACTTGCTAGATTTGGTGCACTGTTAAATGGGCACATTTGCTAGATTTGGCGCTTTTGCGCATACATTTTCGCTGCATTTTTTTTAACAGCCCTCAAAACCGAATAGTACCTGAAAATTTTACAACAGATCTGGGAAAGATTCAAAACAAATGCTTAAAATAAAATTATTGACGATGATCTCAATACAATTTTAAAACAATTTGATCTTTACAGCAAGCCCTAAAACACGTAAATGAAACTGTTGAAGAATAACAATGAAATCTAAAGCATATTCTATGAAAAAATAAATAAACAAACACTAAAAGTAAAACATATTACTCTAAGATTCAATTATTTTCTAATTCAGAAAATTTTATGTGCATAAACAGAAAGCTTGAATTTTTATGAAAAAAAATTAATAAAAAAAATTATTTTACAATATACGTAATTTTTAAAGTTTAGAACACTCTCTACTCTTGTATTAGCTTTCCCACATTGATTTCATATATTTTAAATACAACTTTCAATAGCCTTATACACAAGAATATAATCTGTTATATTAATAGCTTTCTGAAGATTTGTTTTGAATGAAAGCTTTTATTTCTATGTCACAAATTTTCAGATGGCATACAGTATGGATGGTTAACCTTTCCGAGTTTCTGGACCTCATGGCCCAATAAAGATTATGAAGAGCAACAACTGCTGACAAAAATTTTCAGATTTTGAATTATTACATCACTTCATTTTCAGAACCTGCACAGTGATTCAGGTAATATATATTGTAATTACAACAGCAATTTTGCTACAGGAAAAAGGTAGTTCACAAGATGGTTATATGATAATTACTAAAATTTCAAAAAGTTTTCCAGATTGAGGATTTGCATTAACATTTCAAGGGGCACATATATATGTATGTATATATATATATATATATGTGTGTGTGTGTGTGTGTGTGTGTGTGTAAAATATAAAATATCTAGCTTTTAAATAATAAATTATTAAGAGCCCTTTAACTTCTGTTTTCATTCTAAAAATAACAGAGCAATAATTTTCTAACTAAACATCCTTCAGTTCTGATGCACACTTATCCATGAAATCTGAACCCAACATCTGGACATTAATCTGTCATGTGATCTGAAATGGACTGATGCTGGATTCCCATTTCTTTGCTTCTGCTTGGGTTTATCAATCTGCTCCACTGCCTTGTAACTAGCCACATAAGACTTTATTTTTCCAATTGCGTCCATTGTTTAAGAAGATGTAAGCAGTACAAAATTGGAAGGGGGTATAGCACATCCACAGTGATGATGTGCATTATCATGGAATAAAATTATATGTGTTCTTCTAGTGTCATCTTTCTAACTATGCAGTCAGTTCTGTTCAAGTTATAATGCAGAGAACCATCGTCAATCCATTGCAACTTTCTATCACCAAGTCATCTTATTAGAATAATGGCAGAGTCTTATTACATATATAGATATATACACTAAAAACATTTAACTAATATGTAACAATATGAAATTAATATATATTTTAAAATTGAAATTTATGTAAAAATTGACTAATTCTGAAAACATATTCAACAATGTTATTTTAGATTAAGATTGCCATTTAAGTGGATGGTATTTTAATGCATATTATACACAGATTTCCTTAAACGTTTAAAAATAAACATTTTTAAACAAGGATCATTTGGCATGAAAATTATATTATGGCATTGACAGATAATGGAAGGTGATTTGATTTTAAACTTTAAAAAAGCACTTTTGCTGATATTCCAGATGTCCAGCAAAACCTATGTAATTCAAAGTTCAATCTTTTAAGTTTGAATTTTGAAAGAGGATTACTTAGCAGTGTACTTTTGTAGAAATTCTCATAAAAAACAGCATGAAAACTTTTGATATATAATATAATATTAGAAATAAATAAATAAATAAAAAGCAAAAAAATTAATTCTTTATTCAGAAGATTGATTTTATCTGCAGCACTTTGTGCTTTAGGACTGGAAGAAACAAAATAGTATATGTATTATGGGAGTCAAATACACATGTTGCTAGTACCCTAAGATATAGACTTGAAGTATTAATGAGTATATTTTAAATCCTTGAATTTTTAGTATTGAATCTAAAAATATTACTTAATTTTAAATTAAATATCAATAACTCCAAAATAATTAGATTAAATACTAATAATTCTCTGTACGACTCAATGTCCGCCCTCATAAACATTAATCCGAATAAATTATATGCACCTGATCTTTTTCTAACTCTTCTTTTATTGCAGATTTTAATTTGTTTATTGCATCTTGACTAGACAAGCCCACAGAATCAGTTTGAATATTATCCCTTGACGACATATCTTAAGTTTTAAAAAGAATAATCTTATTGCTTTAATAATTATTGTCATATATAAAGTATTCCAAAATTGTGCGAATTAAATGCAAAAAAAAATTGCGGTAAAGCCACTTCATTTGGAGCGGTAGAGTAATAACTTGATAACCAAGGAGGTTAGGATACATGGAGATGGCGTCTCTGCTGTCGCAATACGAGGAGAGTGAAGCCGGGGGAAGCAAATAAGCCACGCCTCGTGAGGGCAAGAAAACGCTTCCCTTACTATGTGAAGTGAGGTTAAACGTCAGCTTGTTTGAAGTTTTGAGTGTGTTTTCTGATTTCTTATGTGAAGACGTGAGAGGGTTATAAGGTACTGAATGGTTACATTGAAATAATGTCTACATTTCGGATTTCATTTCCATATAAAAGAATGTTTTTTTAACATGCATAAATAAGTAGAATAATTGAAATGTGCGTTTGAAAAGCCGTCAGAAAAGAGTTTGAGTATTTTCTCGGTGTGTGACGTGCGCGAAGAAACATCTATAATTCTCAGATTTTTCTTCAATTAATGGTTTGAGTATTATACTCGTAATTAACTGAGTTGTAAAAGCAAAACGGTAAGTAAACAAGGGAAGGGGGAGTGGTCAGCTCATCGTGGAAAAGAAAACGCGTTATTTTAAAGGTGTGATCATATTACATTACAAGTCATATTTTATGTATTTAATTTTATTTTCTGTTCAAGTAAATATTTAATAACAGGATTTAATTTGGGGTGAAATTTGTGGGAGTTTTAAAAATAACAATGCAGAATTTAAATATTATTTTTTATCATTGTTCATGCAATTTTTCAAAACGTAAGTAGTATTTCTAACATGGAAAATTGAGAATTATACCTGTATATATTTAGAATAACTAAAATATAATCAATTAATGGTTTGAGTATTTATTTATTTATTTTCACAATACCTTTATTGCTAGCATTCATTAATGACAACATGTAATTACATAATGCATTTCTCATTTAACTCATTTTAATGGAATCAGTCCCTTTGTACATATATTTTCCCTCTGCATATCCTGATAATCATTAGAATTGATACAATTATCAGCACTTGCAGCCGTTTCCTTGGATATGTTTTAAACATGCACAGCAAATTTTTATCTAACTTTGAGCAAAGTATAATTAAATAAGTGATAGTATATATGTTAAAAGAATATTTACCTGTGAAATGTAATACCGGATCCTGCTGTTCTTCTATTTGTACAGCCGAAAGCGACGCAGGAATTTACCATTTTGGCAGGAATAAAAATTGCTTCTCGGAACAACAATTGCAGCCGTCTACAAGATGATAGAAAATGTAGAAATAAAATGAAATGGCGGGAAAAAGTGAAGGAAAAGCGCGCGAAGAATCCACGGTCTTTAATTTACGAAACTGGGTGTGGCTAGGTTCTGCCTCATTGGCTGAAGAGCTCGTCAATCTTTCTAAAGCCACGACTACTAAGGGCATGCTTTCCCCCACTTTTTGGCTTCACTTGGACTGCGCGCAGGGCATCTCCATGTATTCTAACCTCCTTGTTGATAACACATTTTGCTTGAAAAGTAAACAAAAGCACCAAGAGACGAATGCCAGATGTTAATCGTTGTATTTCAATATTTATGAGGAATTTCATCGATCTAAATATTTTATAAACCATAAGATAATTTACTTCTTTTTAATAATTTAAAGAAAAAAACTGCCGTACAAATAAACTAAGCTAACAGAAATTTGTTTCGTTATTAAAAAACACATATGTAAAATATCTGGCATGCAATTGCTACTCAACTCGTTGTTTTGTTGCTGCGGTGTTGTAGGGAACATGTCTGTTTTAAATAATGTTTCGATGTCTTTAAATCGAAGGATTTTAAGTATGTTTCCTCAAATTTTGTAGACGTATAATCTTAAGTCAAAAATTTTTCATAAGTGGGAATCTTTTTATGTATTGATATTTCAGATTAATTCAAAATGCTTTGATAATATTAGTTGCATTTAGCAAGTATAGTGTTAAATGTACTATAATTAAAAATTCACTTATTAAAACCTGTCGTATTACTCATGATAAACAGTAGAATAAGATACAATGGTAGTTTCTCATGAAAACTGTGTAAAATGCACTGTAAATGTCGCCAGATGAGTTCCATCAGAGATAGGATGCCTTCCACCCATAAATCAGCATTCACACGTTAAAAATATGTATATGTATTGTGTACGAGTAAATGAATATAATTTTTAAAAATAAATGGTTGGATGATTTCCTTTTTATAAGTATTAATTCATACACATTTTTCAAAACTAAATTTAAAATGTTTTCTATTTAAATATGTATTAAATACTCCATATGTAGCAGTCAAGCTACAGTTGTTATAACCATTTGCATTCTTCAAGACCTTTAATCATATACATTCCTCAGGACTAAATTTAAATATTTTCTATTTAAATATGTATCAAATACTCCAAATTCAACAATTAGTTTGCAGTTGTTATATCTAATAAGTAACACCTCAGGAATATGATTATTTTTCTCTATATCCTAAAGATAGAAACATACTTATTTTCTGAAATGCATCATTTCAAAATTAATACCTGTCATGTGATTCTTTTGTAATGGCCTTGGCTGTTGCATGTAACATAACAAAAGTGAAACATTTTAGGGGGGCAAAAATGTTAAATTTTGCAGATTAAATCCTTAACTGACCACTTATGTGTTCTGTAATCTACAAATTTTTCTCGTATTTCTCCTGGCTACTAATATGTCATTTGCCACTTCTTGCTTACTTCAATGATATTGCTGTAAATATATTTTTAAAATGTGTATAATTACTGAGGAACAGGTTTGCATCTTGTGTCAGTTTAGCTTCTGTGTTTACTTCAAGAATGTTTTGCTTAGAACAAGGTTCTGCTCAACCAGCCGTGACTGCAGCTATTTCATATAACATCTGCATCGCTATTAGAAGTTTTATGGGTTAGAGAGAAGGGTACCCCTTGTACTATCACCAAGTTGTTTCATTTATGGTAGCTGGTTTTCCAAATGTGTAAAGTGTATATGAGCCATTTACCCTTAGAAAGTCCTCCATGAAGGAAGGCATCCCTCCCCTTAGGCAGTTAGCCCTTGAGGCTTTGCCATAATCACACACACATTTATGGTAGCTTGAGTAGTTGAATGTTATGGAAACCTTATTATGACATAATCGGTTGCATGTTTGCGGTAAATTCATAAGGGCTTGTGTGTGTGTTGGTTAGGAAGTATATTGCTTGTTTTGTGGTTTAGACGATAAAATGGCTAAATGTGGTAAGATTAATTTGAAGTTTCTGTATGACATGGAAAGAAAGGGAAAAAGAGCATTGCTTGACTGGTGTGTAAATGAAGGTTTACTTAGTAGCCATTATTAAATGTCCTGTTTGTAGGAAGGAAATGCGTATGGTCGAACATTGGATGATAAACGGCGCTACGGAGGATATTTTTTACTCTTGTTATTTTGGCTTTGTGTAGTGGTGATTTTTGCCACTACCCAAGCCAAAATAACAAGTCAAAGAATTCCACAAACTCGGTGTCCACATACCGCCAGTACTCATAAATATATTTTTACCATTTTATGTTATATGTCTAAAAAACATTATATGAATTTTTCTATCAAATATTTAGCATCACCATTCAAGTTGTATTTTTTCTGCCAGTATTAAGATGGCCAGTTGTGGCTAAAGCAGCCAAAACAATAGTATGTCTTTTGCTATGTTCCTGATGGCTAAATGTAAATGTAAGCTCTTTTTTTTTTTTTTTTTTTTTTTTTTTTTTTTTAATTTTCTCCTTTATATAAGTTTAGGCTAATTTTACTTAGAAAGCCCTCAATAAACTCTGGATATGGCTGATAACCCTGTCAGTTTTTTCTGAGTCAGTAAATTCCATCATTCTAAGGTTGTTTTGTCTCAGTCAGTAAATTAATTTAATAAGAATTTTTCTTCCTATCAAGGTTTGAAAGGTCTATTAACCCCATACTCTTTAATTCCATATAACTGATCCATTTTTTTTTTTTTTTTTTTTTTTTTTTTTTTTTTTTTTGGGTTGTTGTTGTTGTTGTTGTCTGCAAGCTGTGAAAGTTGATAATTAATTATGGCAAAACAATCTTCTAACTTCAAAGAAGACAATATTTATGATATTTGAGCTCAGATTTGTAGCTCATATGAATTTAAAAAAAAAATTAGTAGCTATTGAAGCACATACCTTTGTCAACAATATAAAAACAAACTTTCCACTTTTTTACTGAATTTTAATTAGAATGTATATTTTTTAATTAAGGTAGTACATATTATTCAGTATGTTTATAATTTGAATTACAATTACAACCTAATTTTTTCTGTGTGTCCTTTTATGCAGTTCAAAAACTTGGAAAATGTTTCTGTACTCGGTCAGCAGCTAGCGTTATAAAAAAAGAAGACTCTAAAGAAGCTAAAAAATCATTTTCTCAGTTAGCAGAATATAGGTGAAGTAATATAATTTTATTTTTATTGTGCTCTCAGAATTAAATTTTCATCTGCAAACCATAGAAACATAAGAGAGTTTCCTATGATATGGTATATTTTCATTTAATTATTGTATTAAAAAAGCATTATGACCATCTTTTAATATCTATTCAATAACAAATAAATAAAAATGCAAATTATGAAAATTTGTTATTACTATTTAAAATCTTTTTATTTTTGGATGTTGTTAATCCTTACTTTTAAAAGCAGGAATGTCATTTGAGTAGCTTGCAGTCCACATATGCATCTCTTCTCGTAAATGGCATTTTGAAGTCCACAGCATGGTGAACAAAATTTTGTACTCTTCCGTTATCTGAATAGTATTCAGAAACATATGTATGTACGTATGTGTGTTTCTATATACACACATGCACATGCATACATGCAAATATTTCTGAATCTGGTTTCAATAATTGAAAAGTCCATCAAATTTATTATTTTACCTCTTAACCAGCATATATTTTTCATAAAATTCTTTCAAAAATTATTTTTTTAATTATTTTTTATGCTGCATATTATTATTCACAAATTTCTGAATTAATCGGTATTATTTTCAGGAAATTTTTCACAAAATTTTATTTTTTAAGCAATATGAAATGATTTAATATTTGTACTTTTTTCATTCATTTACCTTATATGTAGGTTTCTTCTCATACACAAGCATGGCTAAATTTAAAAAATAAACTACTGCATTTTATTATTATGCATGATAAACTACAGTATGATATAAATAATTTATATCATGCTGTATTTTATAACTTATTATTAAGAAGGTTATTTTATTCACATAAAATTGTATACTGACTTATCAGTAATTACGTTTTCAAAACTTAACAGTTTTTCTGTTGTATGTTAAATCTCAAAATGGTTTGCATAGGCCAAAACTTGCAAAAGTTATCTGTATCTGAAAAAATACACATTCAAATTTGTCAATGCTAAAATCAACTTTAATGACACTACTACTTATTTTAGAAAAGTCTGCAATAGAAATTAAAAAATACTACACAAAGCAAGTGTAGTAAAAAGCTGGGAATCATCAGGACTTTATTGATTCCAGATTTAAAAAATTTCCAGGTTTTAGATCATGGCTTTAAATCTAGTAAGATGGTATGCTAGTTAGTGTTAGAAGATTTTATGAATGTAACAATGATGAAATAGAAGATCAGATGAATTTACCTACAGTTGTTACAGAAAAAGTAAGGAAAGCCATTGAAATTTCGATAGCTTTTATTGAATCTGAGAAAGATATTAGTTGGCAGTGTATTAATTGATTATCTTGAGAAAATTGTCTTGAAGAAAATTACACATCAGAAAGTGTAATCAGACTATTTTTGTTAAAACTTATCAAAGATGTCACTCATCATTAGCATATTTGCTGCATATAAATCAGTATTAATAAAATTAATGCACATAATATTGACAGAAACTTCATTTTGAATTTTTCCGTTTTCTTGCGAGATAATGCTGTACTAATATGACATATGAGAAATAGCGGTACTCTTCTGTTATTGGGACCAATTCCACACATACATGTATAAACATGTGCATACATACATAATTTTCTGAATCCAGTTTTCCCAAAACAGAAGAATACAGAAATAGCTTACTGGATATGTAAGATAAATATTTTAACCGCTTGCCTGATTATCCCGAGTTATCTCAGGTTCATATATATTGCAGTTAATTATTATCCCAAGAAAACTTGGTCGAATCCCCGTATGATTTGTTTTATCACAGTTTTACTCTGCCTGAAGAAAATATTCAGCTTTGATTGGCAATTTGCCAAGTTTTGTTGGTTTTGCCGTTTTTTTGCTAGGACTGGTCTGTGTTTTTCCTATTGCATAGTATACGTCAGCTTGCGGATTAGTAATGTATAAAGAAGGATAGTTGCATTGAAAAAATAAAGTAATGGCGATGATGCAAAATAGCAAAAGTGATGATTTAGTCCCAGCATTAGTCCTTCATCACTCAGGCATTTTGCATATGTTATTCCTGCTGGTGAAAAAAAATCAAATTCTGTGAGACAGTGTGCTCCTATAAAAAAGATTCCAGAGGTAAGCCAGTAAGAAAAAAGACCAGATACCAGTATACATACTGTCAGGTATCACTTTGTGTTGTCCCTTGTTTCAAAAACTAATATTTAAATTTTTTACCTCGGATAGTAAACTAGCATTAAAATTAAATGCTTTTACACCTGTAAAAAATTAAAAATTCAACTTAAAACCTGCATATTTTGTTTTGTTTTGTTTCCTTGTATTTAATAATAAAATTTTAAAAAATGTGATGATTTTTTGCATTTTTTTTTTTTTTTTTTTTTCCAAAAAAATTTGTAAGGAAATCAGTTAAAAAATATTTTTCAACTTAAATATCATAAATGAATTTAATTGTATTTTACTGAGAAAAAATGTGTAATTTTTCCCTGTATTCTAGATATGTTTATCCTGAATTTTTGCCTGATCCAAAATTTGAACACCGGCATAAGATAAGAGAGAAACTTGAAAGACAAGATATGTTGAAAAGGAGAAGAGTTATAGATATCCCTGAATTTTATGTTGGCAAGTCTATTTAATTCTATCATTTTTCTATATTACAGAATCTTTTAACCTTTAGCATCTTATATATATTTTATATATTATTTAAATATGAGGGGTGATCCAAAAAAAAAGTTTACAAGGCAAATGAAAAAGTATTTATTAACAATAGAAACAAGATACAAATGGGAATCAAGAGACACGTCTGGCCTTCACTTTTCCACGTAGTCCCCAAACCTGTTTAGGCATTTGTCAGAACGTTCGACCAACTTGTTTATCTCGTCTTAGTAGTAATTAGGGCCCTGCTCATTGAGCCATTTCTTGGCAGCTGTTTTCACTGCATCGTCTGAGGTGAACCGTGTTCCGGATAAGTATCGCTTCAACGTCGGAAAAATGAAATAGTCACTTGGAGCAAAAATTGGGGCTGTATGGGGGGTGATTCCAGACCTCCCACTTGAACCTTTGCAGCAATTCCTGAGTCTGGTGAGCTGTATTGGGCATGGCATTGTCATGCAAAAGAATGACGCCTTTGCTCAGTAATCCAGGCCGTTTGCGTCGGATGGCTTTACGCAATTTCGTTAAGGTGGCACAGTAACGATCGGCCTTAATGGTATGGCCATGTTCCAAATACTCGATTAGGATAACACCAGTCATATCCCAGAAAATGGTTGCCATCACTTTACCAGCAGAGGTGTGATCTTAAACTTCTTCCTCGTCAGTGATCCAGTGTGTTTCCACTCCATCGTGGCTCTTTTGGATGTGGGGGTGAAGTGATGAAGCCATGTTTCATCACCGGTAACGATGCGATCAATGAAGTGTTGGCCATTTGAATGGTATCACTGAAGAAATGTGAAGCTGCACATCATTCGAGAGGCCTTATGCTCCGCGGACAATGCACATGGAACCCAGCAGGCACAAACTTTGGAATATCACAACTCATCGGTTACGATATGCTGAACGTTACCATAACTCAGGTCCAACTTTGAGGCAATCTCACGCACAGTTACTCGTCGATCCCTTTGAATGATTTCTTCAACACGTGCCGTGTTGATATCCGTCCTTGAAGAACTTGGACGGCCGCTCGCTTGCATATTGCAGTTTTCCACATGCTCCCTGCCCGCTTGATAAGAACGACACAATTTCGCTACCTGTTGTCTTTGTCCCCGTATACCTCGTCTGTGAATTTCAGATTCGACCACATTCTTGCCCCATAAGAATCGAATTACGGCTTGCACCTCTATGCGAGACCACTTTTCTAGACGTTGTGCCATTACTGTCGCTCTTAAGTGTCTGCGTACTGACGCTACTTACTTGTAGAACCGCTGTAGGACAATTAGCGCCATCTGTCAACCACCCTGGGTGAAAACATTCGCTTCACAATTATTTTATTTCAAATGCTTCTGCTTGTAAACTTTTTTTTGGATTAACGAACGTACTTATATGTTATTTTTAAAATTTTTAAAAAAAATTAGATTCCGACAGTAACATTTTGGTTTAGCATATGCTTAATGTTTTGCATATGTACAGTAGATACTTTTTCGTAATAAAGCATGTGGAAGATTTTGATTTGTAATTTCACTTGTTGCTAAATTAAGTACTCCCATGTTGGAAGAAATATACTCATTTATTAGTGTAAATCTGTATCACCAATAATTTGGCATTATGGCTACCTTTTTGATTTTTTATACATCTCAAACTGAAGCATTCTACATTTACTGAGTAACTAATATATCTGATGCCAACCTGGGGAGCGAATTTTTATTATTTTTCGCTTTCATCACCACATGATTATCAACTAATGCCATCCTGAGAAATGGCTCACACAGTAATGTCCAAAACATTTTTTTTATTAATAATTGAATACCAAACAGCATGGTAATCTTTTATGTTGACATTATGCTTGGCAGCAATTGCAAAATTCAGTTAACTGTGCTACTGTTTGTGTTAAGAATAACTCATCTGTTATGCAAATAAGCCTTAAGTATATGTGGAAGTTTATTTATTGTGAACTCAGATAAGTACATATAATTTGAAGGTTTTCAGATATTGCAAGCAAAAAGTGAAAATCTCCAATTAATGGAATTTGTGGAGAAGTGGTGATAAATGAAGATTTTTTTTGTTTTTTCCCCAATGGCAGATTGTGAACAATTAACAAATGTAACCCAGTTTATTAATCTATACAAGGCCGGATGTGGTGGTCTCTTTATTATGGAGGCACCTAATAGGTGCACCACCTTCACCTTTCCTATGAAGGAACAGACAGTTACAACCATGCCTTCTCCGGGATTCAAACCCAGGCCCTTCAGCATCGCAGTCAGCTTCTCTGACCACTATACTGACTGGGCGGCTAATAAATGAAGATTATGTAACTGAATTTTTCGTTGCTATGATAGCGTCCCAAGCTTCAGTCAATTAACAAAGGGCAAAATATGTAGTGTAAATGCAACATATTAATTTTATTTAACATGTATTTTCCTCATTGGCAACAACAGTTTTTTTTAGAACGATAATAATTTGAACTGTAATGTTTTTGAGCAGTAATGTTGACGGTAATGTTTCTGAATAAAGCAAGTATCTAACAATTAATGTTTGACCGAATGTGTTTTTAATAAAGGAATTAATTAATTGCTAACATTTCAGAAGTGGGATCAACTAGAATAACTCTCTTTGGAACTTGATGTAGATGTCTTTCTGATATTAAAATTGTAGGCTTAAGAGATATGATTTTGAATAGTAAGAATTATAATGAAGACTTTACTAAACAAATGCTAGATAGAATTATAAATGATCGTTTAGACAGGGAAAAGTTAAAAATTTTAGAAAAAGATAAGCAAAGAGCATTTGAAATGGAAATTATAGAAAAAGATAAGCAAAGAGCATTTGAAATGGAAATTATAGAAAGAAGTAAGCAAAGAACTTTTGAACTTGAAAAATTGAAAATAGAAGCAGAAATCAGAAGTAGTAATGTAAATGATTCTGTTTCTTCTAATGTTAGTAGAAGCAATATTTGTGATATGAGTAAATTAATGCATAAGTATGATTTGAATGAAGGTGATATAAGTTTTTATTTAGTTTTACTTGAGAGACAGGCACGATGTATTGGGTTAGAAGAACAAAACTGGGTTTCTCAGCTGTTGGGTCTATTGCCTTATGAAATAACTCAATTAATTGCCCGTGAATCAGAAGAAAAAGCTAACGACTATGAGCACGTTAAACAACTGCTACTGAGAAAATTTAAGTTAAGCCCTGAACAGTTTCAGCAAAGGTTTGTTGATCATATTAAAACATTGCGTAATACGTGGAAGGGCTTCACGTTTGAATTAAAAATTTATTTTGAAGAGTGGCTTGCTAAATGTAACAGATTTTGACTCTTTAAAACAACTTATTATTATGGATCAATTAAAGGAAAGGGTCCTTGCTGCTATCTGAGACCATTTCATTGATGATTGGTCTAAATTCATTAATCCTGAAGAAGTTGGCTGAAAAACTAGATGAATATGAAAATATTCGGGCAGGGATAAAAGTACTTCAAGTAGAAAATAAAACTTTTAGGCATAATTCTAAACCTAAATTTGGTTCTAAATTTTATGAAGGATTCTATAATCAGTATTCAAGACACAGAAATGTTAACGATTCTATGCAGACAGATGGTAATTTCAAAGTGGGTTTTAAAAACAGATTTGAGAATAAATACAATCTGAGAGATAAATTTTATAAAACAGATGAAAGGAAAAGGAAATATAATTCTAGCATCTGCAATGAAAAGGGTGAGCCGAAATGCTTCAATTGTAATGATTATGGACATATAGCGACGGATTGTCCTCAACCTAAAAAAGAAATTATTTGCAGGGAATGTAATGAAAAGGGTCATACTTTTAAAAAGTGTACATCTAAGAATCCAGACTTGATAAATGTTAAAAATAATTTATCCGTGGACCAGAATTCAGGTGTTTCACCAGCTGTATATTTAAAGTATGCTCGCGTCAATAATGGAGAAGAAATTACTGCAATCATAGATAAGGGTTCTAGTTCATGTTTATTGAAACAGTCTGCAGCTAAGAGACTGAATCTTATTATAAAACCAGATGTGGAGGAATTGTTTGGCTTTGGGAACCAGAGTAAACCAGCCGCTAGAACATTGGGAAAAGTAACTGTTAACTTAGAGATTGATAATGTGGAAGGAAAGGACATTACTGTTCTAATTGTAGGAGATGAAACGCAACCATGCGACTTATTAGTTGGTCGAACATGGATTGATTTACCACATATTGCATACGCCAAGATAGGTAATACCTTGCACGTACGCTATGCTAATGATTGCCCCTTTCCACAGTTGCAAAATGATAGCAACACTCCATGAATTAAACTGAAGGCTTCCCAAGAAACTCAAATCGAAAGTAATATGGTTAATTTCGTGAAAGTTAAAGCTGATTAAATAAATAACGGTTATGTTTTAATAAGTGGATCGGAAGATGAGTTGGGCTCATTTTTGGAAGTAATACAGGGAGAAACAGTGATACCAGTCACTAACTACAGCGATGAAAAGGCAGCAACTCTTGACTATGATGGAAAGTTTGAAAATATAAATACTGTAAAAGTCACTAATTCCAAAGGTAAAAAAATCACTGAAAAGGAAAGGGACTTCAAAGAAAATCGTTAAACAGAATACAAGTGAAGAAAATAAATATTCTAAAGAAAAAACTCGAAGTGATAATATCAATAATATTAAAGAATTGTATTCTAGTGTTTTTAGTAGTTTAAAGTATAACTACTGATTATATTGCATATATTTGGAACACTTGTATGAATATCTCTGAGGAAAATGTCTATTCAAGAAAAGCATTATAATCAAATGCTCAAGAAATATAGTAAGAGTTATAAAATTACAGCACTTGAGAAAGAGTTTAATACAGGGAAAGAAAAAAGTTTACAAAGAGAATCTGTAGTAGATAATTTTGCTGGTGAAGAAACAAAATTAAGGGAAATAAGTTTGTTCAGAAACAAAACAAAAGACAACCGGGGAAAGATATTGCAAAAGGAAATAAACCTCGGGCAGATGTAAATCCATCTGTAAAGCAATCTAAGATAAATGAGGGAATAGACAGATCTCCTAAGAAAGAAGAATCTTTCTAAGAATCTCCTAAGAACCTGGACCAAGAAAAGTACGAGCCATATTAAACTTTCCTAAACCAACCAATGAACATGAAGTTAAACAATTTTTAGGTCTTACAAGTTTCTTTAGAAGGTTTGTACTGAAATACGTAGAGAAAGCTGAGCCGCTAACGAGACTGACGAGGAAGGATGAAACATTTCGTTGGAACGAAGATCAGCAAGAAGCATTCAGTACTTTAAAGGATCATTTAACTAATGAACCAATACTAGCATTATATAATCCCGAAGCAGAGACTGAAGTGCACACAGACGCGAGCAACAAAGGGCTGGCAGGAATGCTGTTGCAAAAAGGTGAAGATAGAAAGTGGCATTTAGTTTATTGTGTGAGTAAAGGAACAACAGAAACAGAAAAGAATTATCATTCAAGCAAATTAGAATTAATGGCTATAGTTTGGACTTTGACACGACTTCGACAATTTTTAATTGGAATCCGATTTACGGTAATTACAGACTGTCAAGCTTTAGTTTATTTAAACGCCCAATAAAAGCCTAATAAAAGGTTAATAAAATTTATTCTTATCAAAAGAAATATAACAGAATGCTGGAATTTTTCTCAGAGATATTCATACAAGTGTTCCAAATATATGCAATATAATCAGTAGTTATACTTTAAACTACTAAAAACACTAGAATATAATGCAATGCAAAGAGAAAGCTAATTCAATCTCATGCTGAACTCACAAAAGATTAACAGCAGCAGCTAACTAAACAACTGAGCTGAGATATTCTCTGTCTGCCTTTTTAAAGCTTTCAATCAGTCCCAAGGGAGTTAGTAATTTCTTTGCTTCTCGAGATTTCTGGAAACCAACAAGAGGACGGAATTACAGTTGCAGCTAACAAAGTAGTCAGTTACATTTATTCAATTCCAATACAAATAAAAGAGATATCCATTTATTCAATGCATGTGCTCTTATATTTTTACTTTTTTGGCATAGCTTTCTCTTAAAATTTATCACGTGCTGTAATGCATGGGAAAATAAAACAATTTTAATTACAATTCTACTAAAATTAACTATTTAAATACAAAATTCATAACAATACTATTCCAAAAACCTTTGTTGACCAACATTATTAAAAAACTGGCATACTTTCTTCTGTTCTAGATTCACTTTACATGTCATAAAGAGGATTTAACAAATATTTTATCTATTATAAATTTTATTATTTCAGTCTTAATTCCACACTTTAGATTGTTTCATACAACCCTTTTCCTTTCCTTGTTATTCTGATTGCACATAATGAATTCAGTTTCGTAATTATAGTTTATCTTAAGTCTTTTTTTAATCTGCCATACTTTCATTCCAAATCTTGTCATACTGCTGGATAAAAAATTATTTCATTTTATTTTGATGTTAATTAATATAATTGAATATGCAATATAAAGAATTAAAAGGCTATTTATTTATAGAACACGGGAAGGAATTTACATTTTTGACTAAATAATTTTGGTTTTGCATACTAGCACTATCACCTCAGTAGAAGTTGCCCAGTTTTCAAAAATTGCCAAAGTAGCAACCATGGCTTTAACAGTTTTAACAAACAATGCTGCCCCCCTTTTTTTATTGTTGTGGTGCGGAATATTCTAAGTTCAGCTTCTACAGATATTTTTTACCCTGAACTCAGTTTTAAAATACAGTCAAAAGTCGTTAATTCGGACACCCATAATCCGGACCTCAAAGCTACAAACTTTCTGCGCATGCGTCGCGTTGACGCATTTACGCATGCACGTAAGACCTTTACGCGCACGTAAATTGCATGTGCACAAGCGCATAATATGTTTACGCATGTGCGTTTAATGTATAACGGACAGTATAAGCTAAGCTAAAATTATCTAATTCAGTTAATGTTGCAGATTGCGTTGTTCCTTAATCTTCGAATTGGATCCGGCTTATTATTTTTTGCAGACTGTTAGAGCAATTTTATAAAAGTAAGCTTGAACTTTCGATTATGTCAAATAGAATTTCCAATATATATTTACTAATATGTAAAGGATATACAAAGCGAAAGTATGTTTTGAAATCTGAAATCTGTTTATCAATTTCACGCTGCTCTGCGGCAGGGGGGGGGATGCCGTGGCACACAATGTATTGAAAGTTGATCTGTCAGCACTATCCTTATCTTCAGGGCAGATGTTTTTATTTTATTTGGCTTATAATTCCTTACTAAATGTAGTATTTCATCTCGATGTACTCCGTCTTTGATATGAGTTAAATCAAGTTCCTCGTCATTATAATTTGCTTCCGATAGCAAATAAAGTGACAGAGAGGTTATTGAAAACGAAACATTTCGATTGACAAATTAGTCGGTATTCTCGGCACAGCAATTATAGGACTTGAACAGTGGAACTTTGTAACTAAACAAGAAATTATGTCTGTTTAATGGAATTAAAGAGAAAGTATTGTCACATGAAATGAAGCAACTTAAACAACTTACATTGAAAGAAATGTTTAATAAAGTAAACAAACAAATATTAAGCTTTTTCTTTTTGTAAATTTTGATACCCTTTAGATCATAATTGTTCTTTATTTCATAAATTACGGTTTCATATTTTTAATTTTGTAATTTCTGCATGCCATCTTACCAGATTGAAACTGATGATCTGTAATCCGCAAAAATCGATAATCCGGAATCGCCGAAGTCCCGACGAGTCTGGATTAACGACTTTTGACTGTATACACATGTAGTCTGCAGTACAAAAAACTGAGGTAAAAATTTTCAAGGAATGCAGTATTGTTCCATAAAATTGCTAAAGAGAGCAGTTGCTATGAATGTAATTTTAAAGTGATCAGTGCAAAATTATCAAAACAAAAGAAACAGAAAACCTTTTCTATGTAGGCTTATTGATTTTCAAAATAACTACCTAATTTAAACATAAAATATATAAGATTTTTTTTTTCCAATCATAAGTCACATTATTATTATTATTATTATCTGTTAAAATTCACCAAGGTGGTTGTGCTGATACTTAAGTATCATAATTTTTGTATTATTTATGATGTTCTAATGGTACTCATCATCAAGGAAAGATGCACAAGAGACATAAAATCATTAGTGCAAATTGCAAATTATTTATGTGCATGTTTGTAATCTGTTTAAATTTTCTACAGACAAAGCTATGTTTTTGGTAAATAAGTAGTTTTTGATATGGTTTACAATTTTTGTAGGTATGCTAGGTAATGAAGTTATAATAAAAAATGTTCATTTGTAACTGTGCAATCATAAATCAGTATATGTTATGCTTTTTAGTATCGACAACTCTCCTTTTCTCTGAATCCCCCCCTAAATCAACCCTTTAACGCACCCATAAAAATTCAGAAACTGGTCTTTTTACCCTTTTATTTTAGATCAATCTCTTTTCATATCTTTCTTTATTTTAACCCAGAACTGTAGCAGATATATTCTGCTGCATTCATGTCTGAAAAAAAATTTGAATGTATTTACTCAGGAGCACAGAAATAATTAAGTTTGGTGTCCCCAGTTAACTCAGTTGAATGCATTAAAAGGTTAAAAACAAGTTAAACTGATTTCTCCCCCTTCTCTCTCTCTGTATTGCTGAAGTCAAACGTTACATTATTTATGTTCACTGTTCTTTCTAGGTTCTGTCCTTGCTGTAACTGCATCTGATCCATATGCCCCAGGAAAAGAAACTAAATTTGTTGGAATCTGTATTTCTAGAACATACAGTGGTTTAAGAGCTACTTTTATCTTAAGAAATGTAGTTGATAAGCAAGGTAAATATTTTGTTACTAATGAAATATATACAAATTTATTCACTTTTATATAAAATTTCATAAGAATTGATATGTATTGTTTTCAAAATATGTTATTTCTCACACTGTGCTGGATATCACTATTTTGAAATCAATTTTATGGTTTGAGAAGTTCAGTTACTTTATATTGTACTACTAGTTTATGTGTTTGCTAAAAAGAATATTAAAGATAGAGTGCTGCTTTGAAGATTCTTGAAATTCATCAAATGCTGAAGTTTTTCATATTTGAAAGTAATAATTCCAATCCCTTTGAAAAGAAACTAGCACTTAAAATTTATCATCCATTTTTACTTCATTCGTGAAAGAGAAGAAGGGGAAGATTACAATAAGCTGATATAATTCTCAGTTACCGAGTTTCCAAGTTAACCCCAAGTCGGTACTTGCGTACTATGATGACAACCTTGGCAACATTTGCCGATAAAAATGTTCATTGGCGTTTTTTTATTTATGTTTATAAATTATTTTAAATATATTTTAAATATAATATTTAAAAATTCTTTAAAAATAAAAGGAACCTAATTATGAAGAACAAAAACTTGAAAAAAATCCCAAATATATATATAAGTTCATATGTATATATGTAAGATATAAGAAAATATGATAGCTGTTTCAAAAAAAATGTTGCCGACCTCAAAATTAACATAAGAAAATATGATAGCTGTTTCAAAAAAATAATTGCGGACCTCAAAATTAACATTCTAAATTTGGTGATCTGCTCCTAAATTTATCTCTTCTCACAGGTTCCAGATTTTTTTATCTTATGTAATATTTTAATGCAGATACCTCTTGTCCAATCAAATTAATTCTAAACCAAAACACTGAACTGAAATTTTTCCGACTCCCACCCTTCTTCCTCTGAAGTTCTATGATATTCTTCCCTTTTTAGCATAAGCTCACCTGCTGGTAAGATGATTTTCATCCATGCTGCTGCTTGCTTGCTTAAGATGACGTTGTACTTCAAATTGGAACTTACTGTATTCAAATATAATTAGGAAACATCTTATCTGCAAAAGGATGGTTTGATATATGTAAAATAATAAAGATTGTGATTTTTCAAGATACGTTGTGCTAAATTGCGTCATCATGCTTTCCAGTCTGCTACCTTCAAGCCACTACGATCTTCTCACTCATCTACGCAGTATCTAAGCTGTTAAAAAGTTCCACTGTTTTCATGTACGCATTTTAAAATCATTACATACATATATATATATATATATTCGGGATTTTTTTCAAGTTCATATAAATATATATATATATTATAAATAAATGTATATACACTCAAGAGCCAAAACATTATGACCGGCCTACATTTTGCGATAAACGCGCCTGGATGATGTGGAAGGCACGTGATCAGGTGGAAGTGGTATTTAACTGCTGCTGGAGAGTTGAAAATTCATTCTTTCACTTACTTCTGTGTGTGATGGGAAACACCTGCCAGATCTAAGTGACTTTGATAGAAGGCAGATTGTAATGGCTCAATGGCTCGGAACAAGTATTTCCGAAACTGAACGACTCGTGGGTTGTTCGTGATCTACAGTTGTTAGTGCGTATGAAAAGTGAATGAATGACAGTGAAACCAGCAGTAGACGACATGGTGTTGGACGTCCACACGCTGTCAAAGAAAAAGGTCGTCGGAGACTGTCTCGCATGGTGAAGCAAAACCAGAGCCAGACAGTGGCTCAGCTGACAGCCGAATACAATGTAGGGCCAAGTAGAAAAGTATCGGAGCACACTGTTCAGTGGACACTGTTGGATATGGGGCTACGCAGCAAACGTCCCACTCGTGTGCCTTTGCTGACCAAGCGTAATCGCCAACTGCGCCTGCGCTGGGCCCGGGGACATCGCGACTGGTCCGATCAGTGGGAGAGAGTTGCCTGGTCAGATGAATCACGGTTTGTCATTCATAACGCTGATGGCCGTATCAGGATACGCCGTCTTTCAGGCGAACAGTTGCTCCTTCAATGCACAGTAGGTCATACACAAGCCGGTGGTGGCAGTGTTATGCTCTTAGGGATGTTCTCTTGGGCGTCTCTGGGACCCATGGTTGTGGTAGAGCATACCATGAATGCTACAGGGTATCTGAACATCATTGCGGACCAGTTGCTTTCTTCCATGGCCTCTGTTTTTCCAGGTGGAAATGGAATGTTCCAACAGGACAATGCCCTGTGTCACAAGGCTACGGTTGTGTTGGAGTGGTTCTAGGAACATGATGCTAATTTCCAGCTAATGTCCTGGCCGCCTAACTCACCGGATCTCAATCCGATAGAACACATTTGGGATGTTATGGGACGGCAGCTCAGAGGTCAAAGACCACCAATTCGCAATATCTTGGATTTGCGTGACCGTTGCTACAACATCTGGTACAATCTGTCTCCGGCCATCTATCAAGGACATGTGACATCCATGCTAAGGCGGGTTGAAACTGTGTTGCGTGCCAAAGGTGGCCCAATTGTAATTGACAGGTGGTCATAATGTTTTGGCTCTTGAGTGTATATTATATATATATAATATATATATATCTATATATATATATATATATATAACCTGTATAACCTACAAGGGTTGACAGTTTTGGCGAAATATCTAGGTAGTCATCATAGTATGTAATTACCCCCAAGTCTCTCTTTTCTTAATAAAATAAATAAATAAACTAAATATTTCAACTGCAGAAAATAATAGACAATGCAAACCTTTACGTTGTTGTATAACATTTGCAATAAATATTTTCACAAGCCTGCTAGTTTAGTATCTTCAAAATAGTATTGTCACTGATGTTTGCAACTTTTGAAAAAAATATTGTAACTGATAATGATTTAATTATTTTTCTTTATTCTATTTTTATTTCAATTATGAACTATCTTGGTTATAAAACTAAATAGAATTCCCCCCCCGGTGTGTTCCATTAAAAATAATATATAAAAATGTACCAGTTTGTGCTTCATATTTGCAGTATAATTCTTGGCCACTAAGCTAATTCCTTGTCAGTGTTGTTTTAAACTTCATCATTTCAAGTTCATAGGAGGTGGGACTACCATCTCCAGTTTCCACTCAGTTCTCGGTATTGCAGTCTTTTGAAGACCTGTTTAATAAGGGCTTAATATAAACACTGGGAGTAATTCCTTCTACTCTAAAGACATTATTTTTATAGTGCTTAAAATTCTTTAGAAATGCTAATTTTGCTTGATTTCTTTTTAAAGGCTTTTATAAGATCCTTACTGTTCAGACTTTTATCATTATTTTTTGGGTGAAAGTGAAATTTTAAAAACATTTTGTTTTTTTTTTTATTTAAATAATCTTCTGCATTCTTAACTAAAATTTCTACATTCCATGATACTTCACAGTAACACTCATCCCAGAAGAGCTGTTGTTGTAAAGGGCAGGGCAAGATTCACGTTAAAACTAGCTTTTACTGGTTCTTTAGCTTATGAAATATCTACATGCATGAATTGATTAACCATATCTGATATTTTTCCTGCCTAATAAAATTAAAGCATTTCTAAGAACTTTTGGAAGCTTTTTGATAAAGTGAGGTGTGTAATTTTTACATAGTTTAGTTCTTTGGTTTAGTGTACCTGACCTTTCTGGTAAGTTTTGAATGATTTCATTAACCTCTCATGCTACTTTTACTCAGAGTAATAACATTGTTTTTTAATATTTTGCCATTTCTGAAAAGTGTGTGTTCAACAGTATTTGGCATGGAATCCAACAGTATTAAGGCTAGATGAGGCAGCAAGATGATAAATATAAATTGATTGATTCTAGTAAATGGATCAATCAATAATCTCTGCCTTGCAGCAGATTTTCTTGCTCCTGCAAGGCAGAGATATTTATATCATCTGGATGAGCAAAAAGCTAGCAAACAAAATGATGCTAAAAGTCAGATAAGAAAATTAACTGATATTGTGTTTGATGGTTCAAAAGTATTAAATTAAGAAAGAAAAAGACATAAATGAAATGGGGAAAAAAATTTTTTTAAGGATTAACTCAAAAAATAAGAAGTATATGCTAAAAAATTAAATTAGTGCAAACGTTTTATGCTGTTTAGTTTTCAACTACTATGTACTTATTTACATAAAAAAAAAACTGTTTATTATTCTTTAATTCATTTGGCATACTTGTGTTTAGACTTTTAATGCCTAATTATTGTTCTTATTCCTTTGAATAATAGATAAATAGATCTGACTGTCAACTGCATAAGCTGATATAAACACATGGATATGTTCATAATTCTTCTGAATATTTTTGTTTTTATCTTTGGCTATATAGGGATATTTGCTTTATTAGGTTAAGTGGTTTACTCATTCTTTTTAGAGTTTAGCCTAGCATTGAGGCAAATATTTTGTGTATCATTTAGCAAAACATTTTTTATACTTCAAATAGCAAGGAAAATATAATGATAAAGGTTTTCAAATTAATTTTGACAACTGCCAGAGTATTCCTCTCATAATGTGCCAAAAAATGAAGTAACTGGACCACAAATTAAATTGATCTGAATTTTTTCCCCAAAGTTAGGAAGCAGTCTTAGCAGTGCAAACTGCCCATCCCAACAAGGTTGTTAGCACACTGTCCCAAGAGAGCAGTTCAATGATTGAGGTGCCCATTGCAAAAGGGTTATAGTCATAGAGCAAATTACTACCAATGAGCTGTTCTGATACATTTATTTCTCTTCAACATTAGACAGGCTATGATTGTTGTATAGGCTCAATGTTCCTATATTAGTACAAACCAATAGTTACATTAACTCTTCATCACTTTTCTTGCGCATGAACCCTTTATTTCTTCTCTGAGTACTTCATCAAATTGGACATGAAAAACGCCAAGAACTTTTTAGGTTACTTTTATGTAGCTTACTTTTTAACTTTTTAAAAAATATTCTATAACTTTTCATTTCTGTATTAATATGAAAAAAAAAACTTTTCAGGTGTGGAAATTATGTATGATTTATATAATCCTCGCATATTATCTATTGAAGTTTTAAAATTAGAAAAAAGGTTGGATGATGAGTTGTATTACTTACGTGATGCTGCACCAGAATATAGCACATTTCCTTTTGACATGGAACCAGAATTTAGAGTTGAAGGTGAACCTGTTCCAGTCAATCCTTTAAAGGTAATTTTTAGTCCATGTTATCAAACATGTTTTTCAGTGTAATTTCCTTGTTCATAAAACATTGTCTTGCACTTTGTATTGCATTTCTTCCACAAAACTAGATTTTTCCTCTTTTTTTTAAAAAAAATTATTTATTCTTTATGTATGAATATTGTAATATTTTTTTCCAATAGAAATTTCAGTTATTTCTGACTATGTGTGCAACCATCTAAATACATCCATATCAAAATTTGATATTTTATTCCTTATTATAACTGCATTCTCTACTTTTTAGTCTGTTATTTAAGATTTCCATAACAGTGAAAAGAAGCTGTTTGTTTTTACTTTTCCTCCCCCCCCACAACAATGTCTTTTAATCTATGCTGTAGGCAGTAATAGCAGAAATTGGAAAATATATCAAGCAGACTGTTGCAATAGTTATCTCCATAGCAACTAAAATAATTGCTATTTAAATTAATGCAAGAAATTAATTTTTTGCCTCCTTGGACTCCCAATTGTGGCTAAGACTTAAATACTCAGACTTTTTATGACCAGAGTAATAATTTAGCTAGCTTTGACACTGAAGAAAGAAACAATAATAAGCAGTTTGTATAAATAACAATAATTCAGTTTTGTGATAAGAACACATCTTATCGCAAAACTGAATTTTTCCAACTTTTCCACTCCAAATTTATTTACATAGATAAGTGACAGCGTATAAAAATTATGCTGTGGTTCTAGCTGTGTTATTCCCTGTGGTTGATTTCTTTGGCAGATGGCTATGTGTATCGGTAGAAAATCTAGTTTAAAGCAGTTAGTAGTGGCATGTCATTAAGTAAAAAAGAAGCAACAATTAAAAGTTGCTCTGTCAAGTTCCTCTAAACAGTCTGAGCACACAGTAATCCAGGTTTCATCAGCTGACGGTTTTAATTGAATCAACTTTTACAGTCAAATGAAGAATGTGCATGGGATTGTATGTAAGTCACATAATGCAATTTTGTATAGTGATTATAAACATAAGCTGAAATACCTAGTCATCACTAAAGAATTGGTGCTCTGGATGCCCTTTCAAAGAAGAATTTTTGTATAATTACCCAGAATATGTTAGGTAAGATGTCTCTGAGCAAGGGAAGTGTTAACACTGTTCTTCATGAAAATTTGCACTGCAACAAGATTGTGCAAAATGGATTCTTAAATATCTCACTCGGGCCTGGAGTCTGTGAATGCATGTTTGTTTCTGGCATCTGCTCAATAACCGCATAGAGGGAAACAACTTTCTGCAAAAAAGCTAGTTGAAACATTTAATATTTTTTTCTGTTCTTGGCAAATCAGAAATTGTAATCAATTTTTAACACAAAGGTAAAATAAGTAATTGCTTAATATGTGAGTTGTTAAAAAATGCATCTTCTAATACAACTCTGATTTTTTCCTGTTTCTACTAAAATTCAATAAATACTATAACTGTTTGAATTTCATTAATGTAAAGTACCACTAGGCAAACAGCTGTAAAACAGTTTATCTTCTTTCAGAAACTTGAGGTCGCCAGAAAATTATACATTGCTGTCTGACAGTAAAACATCACATGCAGGACTCTTCCATGAAGTTCTTTATTAAAACAGACTAACACTCTAGTAAGAACTTTGGGTCTGTACACAGTCACCTGCTGAAATATAGAAGAAAAAAGACAGAGTGTGTCATCTGAACACATCTTAAACATTTATGGACATGTTTGGTCTCCTTGTATACACATCTGATTCATTTTGGTGGATATTTCAATCTCGCTTCTAAAGCATTTTTATATAGAACTCTGAAAACATTAAAAGACATCTTCAACAGCTAATAGGTTAGAAAATTTGAAAGTGCAAATTTGATAACTTCCATATGCACTTGTCAAAAGATTGATACATTCAGTTATGACTTTTTGCAATAAGAATAATTGTTTTGTTTGGAAATACATTTATATGTGAACAGTTTTAAACCTAGTTGAGAATTATTATAGTGTAAAAGAAGAACTCAGTTGACTGATGATTGTCTCCAAACCATGAGGAAGGTAATTTCTGGTTATTTTTCTCCAAGGCTGAGAACTTTATCAAAAGTGAACTGTCATCACGTAAGGCATGAAGCTGTAGTAAAAAAATAATGAAGCTTATAATTATTTATTTACAAGCATATGCTTTTTGGGGACTGAAGGGCTATGTGTAGAAGAAAAACTTAATGGATAAAAGAGGATAGGTTGTCATTATTTATGCTCGACTTTTACTTAGCTTGGAAATTTTCAAAATTTTTTTATTTTAAGTTATTTAGTTGCTAATTCGGTATATTAGAATTGTTAGAAATAAATTTAAGCCTAAAAATTTGGTATTTAATTGTCAATATATATTTTTTTTAATAAAAAATTCCTGCTCTTCAACTGTTTTTAGATTCTACATTGAGCCTACATAAAATCTGAGTTTGCAACCACTATTCTAGAAAACACTGGCAATAATAATATTTTGAGCCAACTTCTAACATTATTTGCATAAATTAAAAATATTTTTAGTTTAAAGAATTTTTCTATGTTGTTATTAGGTTATGAGTCTAAACTAATAAAGCTGTGTGAGAATAGTAATGATATATTTTTAGCATTTGAAAACTTATACAATAATTGTGAAAAGATCTTTCCCCATACCAGTTGTAGCTAAATTATAAACTGAAGAATGTTACACACTAGTAAGTCACAAAGGAATATCAGTGGATGCCACTTAGAAAAAAAAATATCATTGAATCATTCTAATTTCCTCATCAGTTGGCAAATTCAAAATGACATTAAAAGTCTAAATTTTGAAATTAAATAGCTTGGTCAATTTTTTGTCATTCAAAAGTCAAATGTTTTGTATTTTATTTTATATAATGAGTATAAAATTTTTCATAATACTTTCTCTTTAATTCTATAAAACAGATCATTAATTTCTTGTTCAGTTACAAAGTTCTGCTGTTCAAGTCCTATAATTGCTATGTCGGAATACCGACTAATTTGTCAATCAAAATTTTTCGTTTCAATAACCTCTGTCACTTTCTTTGCTATCAGAAGCAAATTATAATGACGAGGAATTTGATTTAAATCATATCAAAGACGGAGTACATCGAGATGAAATACTACATTTAGTAAGGAATTATAAGCCAAATAAAATAAAAACATCTGCCCTGAAGATAAGGATAGTGCTGACAGATCAACTTCCAATTCATTGCGCGCCCGCGGTGGCGTTAATGATAAACAAAGTTTAGATAAACAAACATTAAAGTTTAGATAAACAAAGGATATGCCTTTATCCATTTTTTTTTGCAGCAATTTCCACTTTTTTTTTTTTAATGGATTTCGAAACATACTTTTGCTTTGTAGATGATTTACATATTAGTAAATATATATCAGAAATTCTATTTGGCATAATCGAAAGTTCAAGCTTACTTTTATAAAATTGCGCTAACAGTCTGCAAAAAATAATAAGCCGAATACAATTCGAAGATTAAGGAACAATGCACTCTGCAACATTAACTGAGTTAGATAATTTTAGCTTAAACTTATACCGTCCGTTATACATTGAACGAGCACTCCTAAATGTATTTTGCGCACAAGCATATTCACAGCGTAAAGGTCTTATGCACATGTGTCAACGTGCCGCATGCGCAGAAAGTTTGTAGCCTTGAGGTTCGGATTATGGGTGTCCGAATTAACGGCTTTTGACTGTATTTTCATTTCCAAATTATATTTTCATTTCCAAATTATATTTTCATTTCCAAATTATATTTTCATTTAGTAATTTGCAAGGATATTAAATTTTCGTATTATAACAGATTCCTGGAATTTCCAATAACAGATGCAAAAATAGATACTGCAAATTAAAAAACTAGTGAACTGTAAGTTCTAAAACTATTACATATGCCTAACCCTCTAAGCAACACAGGAGTTTGGATCTTGGATCTGTCATGAAGACCTGTATTTAAACAGCATTTATTAGTTAAATTTGTATAATTACTTATTTTAGTCTCAGTTTTCATACGCTTGTGTTCATTAAGATGACATTTACATTATTAAAGAAAATAAGAAAGTAAAATATTTTAAATTATAAGCTAATATCTACCAAATGACAAAAAATCTCATGATCGGATAAAGCCGATCATATCTCTTAGAGGGTTAAGGCAAATTCTGAGTATTGTTGCTACAGTAGGAGTATGAGAATAGATTTTAATAAATCATTTAATATTTTAGGTGAAATTGAAGCCCCCACCATGGTGTAAAAAATGGGAACAAAAAAATTTAAAAGGTGTAGAAGATTTTGAAGTTGATGCAGTGAAACGTAGGCGTGCTAAAAAGACTTTCACACCTTGGGAAAAGTATGATCTCATGAAAGAATATCGACGTTGTATTCCTGAAGAAGATCAAATAGATGTATGGGAAGATGTTGAAGCTCACAGACAAAAATATCCAGTTAAACGTCATTTATGGAAAAGAACATTACAAAAAGCTGCTCCAAAAACTACACGAAACTCTTAATTTGTATTTTTAGTTCATTATTGTAACACCAGCTCAAACTTATTTTGAATGCTATGAATGTGTAATTTTCCCCTTCAGAATAATTGCATTGCTATGTAAATTGTACTAGAAAATATTTAATGTTTATACCTTACATAACAAACACTTTTTCTCTGTTGTACCAGGAGAACAGACAGACATTTATTTTTTGACAATCACACAGATACAAGAATAGTCAAATGAGGCTACATTCTATTGCATACACTTATCACATGAGTCTTCCCAGATGGGATTGTTGTTAGCATTGCTGACTGCAGTATCAAAGGTTTCGCGTTCAAATCTTGGAAATAGTGTGGATGTTTGCAAGAATATTGTGTCTGTGCTGCAAGAGGATACTCAAAATCGTCTGGCAAGGTCGCCTTTGAAATTCTAGCTTGGGAAAAAGTTATTCAAATATGCTTTTTTTATTATTTAATTTATATTATTTAATTTTAGATGTAATTTCTAACTTTATTTATCTTTTTTAAAGTTTGTAATCTTCATCATATTCTGGATTTTGCCTTGTTATATTTCACGAGCATAATTATTCAAATACATGTTTTAATTTATTATATTATTTAATTTTAGATATAATTTTTAATTTGTTTTGCACATTTTAACCTTCATAATTTTAAACTAAGTTATTATATTTTCTGACCATATACGTGACATTTATGTATTACATAACTTAATTTTAAGCATAATTTTTAACTTTTTGATCATTTTACCTTTTTAGTAATTTAAAACATACAATGAATTTTAATTCATTTCTTATAAATTCTGATTACAATAATGTTTTTGAGTTTATTTATTTTACTATTTCACTTTACATGATTTTTCACATATTTTAACTTTACTGAACAAACCGAGATTTTTAAATTAAACATATTATTTTACAACTGCTAATTATTATTCATATACATTTCATTGAATAGTTCTTGCCTAGTATATATTTTATAGTTCTATTTCAATTTACATGTTATAGCTATCTTATTCTGTAATAGTCTTACCATTACTAACTCTACTATTTTGCATCATTTATATGTGCTATTATTCACTTCACTCACATTTTCAACCTTTGTAATTTCCTTATAATTTTTATTTAACTTAATATTTTTCATCTATATAGTTTTATTTGATTTTACACAACAAGTTTTTTTGCCATTATTTTAAAGATATAGTTTAATATCTTTTATATTTGAATACATGTTTTTAAGCTCCCTCCCCAGTATCATGTTTAATTTCAAACCCCAGTTACTTTTAATAAATATATTATGAATTTTTAGAATGAGGTCTCAATTTTCATCTGTAAGTTTAGATCCATATTAACTATTTTTGACATTTAATACCTATTAATTCAATATTTTTTGTTAATTTATTGCATTTATATTGTTATTTTTGCATTGTAGATTATTATTCTAATGTTTGCACATCAACCTTCATGAACGGCTTTTTGAGGAAAAAGCATTTATTGACATTACATATATGACAAAATGACTTTTAAAGTGAGCCTTTTGCTATGCAAAAACTATTAGGTGCTGTTAAGTTTATTTTTTTTTTTTTTTTTTTTTTTTTTTTTTTTTTTTTTTTGTGTTGTGTGTGTGTGGTGTATATATATATATATTTAGTAAAGAAATATTGACCACATTATCTCCCACCCACTAAGTGAATTTAAGATCATATAACATTATATATATATATATATTAGAGAAGAATAAATTTTTTAAATGAATTTCAGTAATGCTTAGGACATCATAAAAGTCAGCATTCACTGTGTTATTGCATGTGTCATCAGTTATTTACATTAATTAGTCTAAAATCATCATTCAGCACATGTAATATATTTTATTTTACTAGTTAATACTCTTACTACAGTTGAATAATTAACTGTTAAGAAAAGGGTTCCCTATCTGACAATATTTCAGTCACATTTAATAGCTTTTTACAGAACTCACCCTGAGTTATGTTCAGTAAACTCATCATAACTCTTTTTTATTTTTTCTAAAGCTTCATTTATTTATCTTTCTGTATTGTACCTTTTAATTGACTGCAAATAGTTGTTGTCAAAATGTGGGTAAATGTATTCAATTCTCTACTTTCACACTCATGATTCATTTAATTCATAGTTAACAACATTTAATATCATGGTTAACAACAGCAGACCATTTCAGACATCAATATGGAGCTACATGATCACTGAATTTTTCTACAAGTTGCCATTTCATGTACTCAAGAAACACATCTAAGTTTTGATCATTCTCTGCATTAAAGAAAATTGACTCAGTTGAAAACTATCCTTGAATCTTTTGATTTTAGCAAGCATACATGTATTGTCAGGGTCAATATTTCTTCATTTTTCCAAAGTTTGTGTTGTAACTTTTTCTTTCAAACTCTTCTCAACACGGGATGCAATTTTTAAGATGAGAAACTTCATGTTGTTCAGAGTATCTTCACTACTAAAACTCTTTAAGTAGCTACTACATTTATAAAAAATATCGTTAACCAAATTCTTAAACCTAATATTCAGTACAATCAAAAGTTTCATGATATTACAAATGGTCATATTCACTAAATTTCTTAGGACATGCACTACATCTGCAAGTTTTCTCAAGAGATTTCAAGTATCTATTTAAATCACGTGTTTGGGGAAAATTTTAAACATCGTAAAATTTAAACACAAGTAAAAGATAAATTGTTTCATGAACAGTTAAAATATTACTGAAAGTGAATCACTTAGAGCACTTACTTCCTTGAAGAGTTGATTTTCACCATGAATTCCCATATGCCGATTTAAATAATTTTGTTGACCAAATGACATTTTGCATTCCATAAACTGAAAAACATATTCTCCCAAATGGATCTTTAGACATCAAGTAAAGTTCCTCCTCTCTCCGAAATAAAATTTTACCACAAGTGGGACACTTATAAAGAGTAAAGAGGAGAAACTTATGAGTTTGAGAGGAAGAGGAGAAGCTCAAACTGTGGGGTTAGTCCTGAAATTGATTTAAGTGTATATACTATACCATATGCAGGTTGTTTCACAAATCTGTTACAAACTTTCAGGAGAGATAGAGTACACCTAGATGATGGAAAAACACATAGCAATTGCATGGTCAGAAACACTTTCCTGGCACAGTGCACAAGAAACGAAGGACATGAACAGGGTGAGAATGTATGTTTAATATGCTTAATGCAATGGAAACCAAGAAATATAAGCAAAAACAGATGATTATCTTCAAAGAAAGTGTTCAAAATGTATCCTCAACATGGTATGGTGCATTAACCAGCAAGATCGCCTGACTGCACTTGCATTGACTACTTCCTCTGGTAGTACGTCAAGATAATGGTGTATGAAAACCCCATTAAAAGTTCTGATGAACTTGTTGCACTCATTGTGGCTGCTGCTGGGGAAGTTTAGGACATGCTCGGTATTTTCTAGAACATTAGATCTTCCACATGCTGGAGATGTGAGGCTTGCATCCGGGTCTGGGTTTGTAATTTCGAACGTCTTTGTTGATGACATTAATTGTCTATTTTTGTTCTTATTTCTTGATTTCTGCTCAGGGGTGTTTGTGCTCGGGGGGGATTTTGAACTTCGATACCCGGAAATTCCGGGGATCGTCGTTCAAAGGGAAGTAGGAATAATAATGAATTATTTATTTTGATCTGGGTAATTTTGTTTGCTTTGAAAGCAGAAAATTTAAGGTCAGTGCGTGTGGTGAAAACTTTTCCTTTCTTTCTCCAAAGGCAGTGATAATGCGTGAAAAGGGGGAAAAAACTTCTTTTTTGTTCTTTCCTTATTGCGAGTTATGACTCATTCCCCCCGGTTCTCGGACATTCTCTTCTGGATTCTTTTCGGCAAGTAGGCGCGGCAGAAAAAAAAGGGAGAGACTTCGTTCGACCAGATGTGCGATCACGCGACTCTGGGTTCAAAGGTCTTATCTCTCCTGGCGTGGCGCCAATAAGTAGAGAAGGGGGATTTTTCGCCGTATTAGCTATTTGTCATTGATCGCTTCTCAACTTTTTTTCTCCGCTGTGTAAAATTTTCGTTTCATTTATTGATGCACGTGTAAATTTTTCGTTTCGTTTATTGAAATATTTTTTTATTTATGTACGCAAGAGAATTTCACTATGAAATTTCTCGATATAAATAGTGATATTATACAATTAGAAGAAGGTGTCCGGAATGCATTTAGGTGGAATTGGATTGAACGGAGAGATGGTAATGGGGATACCATCGGCACATGGTGCAAGAAAATAAATGTTGCTGGACAAGCATATTGTGTTTTTTGTAACTCACTGCTGAAGTATGGTGGGGAAGGATTCAAGGCTTTCACAAATCATTCTAAAACTGTGACGCACATAAAATATTCAAAGTGCATTAGACATTCAATGACTTTAAGTAATTATGCTAATTCAAAAAATACTGATGACTTACTGGAGACTGATGCTCGGCCATTGGATATAGTGACAAGAAAAGCACGCCAAGAGGTATTAATAACTTCGTTTATCGCCGAGAATTCTCTTTCTTTCAATGTAGCTCCCAATTTAATTGAACTCTGCAAACAGTTGAGCCGCGATCAGACGGCACTAAACTCGTTGGAAATGTCCAGGACTACTGCATGTTATAAGATGAAATATGGGCTCGCAAAAACTATTAAGGAAAATATCATTAAAACTTTAAAGGAGACTCCATTTTCTCTAAATTTGGATGAAAGTACTAGCAATGCTCAAGAAAGTATACTGGCAATATTGGTGCAGTTTTATGACAACAATCAAAATGAAGTTGTAGTTCATCATTTTGCATCTCTAAAGATGGAATCTTGCAATTCAGAAGCTGTTTTTAAAGCAGTTGTTAATACTATTGAAGATAATAATATTCCATGGGCAAACTTAATTAGTGTATTAATGGACTCATGTAACACCATGCGTGGGAAAAAAAAAAAAAGGGTGTTTGAAACCAGACTACGATCAAACAAAGCACCCCCACTTATTAGATATTGATGGTGACACATGTCACACAGCTAATAACTGTGCAAAAAAATTTGCTTCATGTTTTGATAGATACTTAGAAGATTTGTTTGATGACATCTATTT